GTAGTAGTAGTAGTAGTAGTAGTAGTAGTAGTAGTAGTAGTAGTAGTGCCAGGAGCTACTACTGTAGTAGCTTCTTCCTACTAGTAGTAATGCCCTTGTTACTAGTAGCGTCCTTCCTTCTAGTAGGAGGCCAGGAGCCCCTAGTAGCGTCCTTGCACCTAGTAGCGATGCCAGGAGCCCCTAGTAAGTAGCTTCTTATTACTAGTAGTAATGCCCTTGTTACTAGTAGGGAAAGGGAGACGAGTTGCCAAAGTTGCCAAAGGATGGTCCTTGAGCAACGGTCCAGCTGGATGCCTCTTCAGGGGCGTTCACACGGGGCATTCAACCGAAGTCGGGCCTGCGCCTTTCAGTCTGGGGTGGTGAGCCGCATCAATAAAAGCGCTCACAAGGATGACCCCCTTACGCTGTAATCAGCCACATAAGATCAGATTGCAAAGCAATCAGAATTATGAATGCTGAATACCTGAACCAACAGCAGGATGCAAGGGGGCCTCAAATCACTATATAAATATATAATACATGGTAGTGTTACCAAATCATTTTTTTTCCCTCGTCCCCTTTCAATCCAGAGATTCTTCACCTGCCTACACACCAATTACTTATCTTTTTAACAAATCCTGCATCAGCTGTTGTGATTCGGTGCTTCAAATGCTTTTTGACAGCATGCCGCCAAGGAAGAAGGCCTGAGCGGCACCGCCGCTGGGCAGCTCCTGCACTAATACCGTGAAATGACTGTTCTAACTCATTATTGCAGTCTGTCTATCCAAGCATACAGAGCGGAAAAGCAGCTTTGACGCGCATATTGTCATTTCATGTCATTTCTACCAAATGTTTGGGCTGGCCCTTGACAATCTGCCTGCTCTTGTACATTCCCTTCACCACCTATAACAAGCAAAAGAACAACATCCGTCCTCCCCCTGAAAGCTAATTTGCTTCTCCAACCCTCCGCCAGCATTCAAGTCACCTATCAGCTGCGGTTCTCCTGCCCAACGCATGTAACTCTGGCAAGGATCAAAAGAATGACAGAATATGTTGAACGCATTGACTCTAACATTAAAAAAGTGCTCCTTGACCAATGGTTTCACTGGATGCCGCCTGCACTATCAAATGTTCACAGTACACCGCGTCTTGTTTCTGCAGAGTTTCCTTCCTTTTTCCATCTTATCTTAAACGCACAAGAGATATAAAACCGGAGAGCACCACCTACAGTAGTACCAGTGAAAAGGATATTGCATTTTCACATTTTTACAGAAGCCTCTCCTCTCCTAGCCAAGAAACAAATCGCCTGCACAGAACTCTCCTCAGCCAGGTCCTGCCACGATGTCACGGCTGGATCAATTGTAGCGCCACTGTCGACTGCTTCATGATGCCAGTACGAAGATACCAACCAATGGATGCGGTGGTCTGTTTTCCTTCTTCGTGGGGGTCTTTTGGAGGTCCCCCTATTGAACTCCCGTGTCCTTTCTGCCTTCAAACCTCCCTAAAGTCAGCACAATGTAAACAGCAAGCATGACCAAAAGGCTTACTCAGTCGGCAAAGCGCTCCGGCAAATGTCAGTCCTCACCCTGAAAACTTATTTGCTTCTCCAATCCTTCACCAACAGTCAACTCAGCCATCACTTGCAAAGGTTCTCCTGGTCAGCTCATTGATTCGTGCCAGGTTTGGCGGGCACAACACAATATCACAGACTGTGTTGATCACAAAGACACAACAACCCCGGTACGCCTTGGCCAACCGTTTCACTGGATGCCGCCTGCAGAATTTTGACTTCTTAGTGCTGTGTGCATTGTTCCTAAATACATAAGGAATCCATGCTTGAACACAACTGCGTACATCTGCAAAAACTTCTGGCAAGACAGCGTGGCACGTTCTGATGCTTGCTTCATATCTTTCGTGCAATCATATCCAATATGTTTTGATATGTTTTGGATCTGGATAGATCTGTGCCTGTGGAACAATGTCCTCAGCCAGGTCCTGCAAGCACCGCAGCGCCGGTGTTGACCGCTTTGTTGCTTGCTTCACACCCTTTTAGTTTGCTGACTTCTGTGAAACTATCAAATTCTGTATCCCACTCAGAGATCTACTCCTGAGTGAGCCTGAGTGACTAGTCCCCAAACATAGAAAAAACAGTCCCAGCAACAAGCTACAGTCTCATGACTCAGAGTTTAAGAAGTTCTTAAAGCAAAGACCTCCTTGCCGTTCTGCGATGTTTGTAAAAACTCATCCCCCTGGGAATAACCGGGGGGGGTTGAGAACGCCATTCTATAGTGATAAATTGCTGAACCAACCTCTGGGAGCAAAATGCCCCACTATAGAATCTAGCTTTCAACCCTTGTAGTGTACAGCATAGTTTCTCTATAGAATAAAGGGGGTCACCCTTGAAGGCACTAATGTAACAGAATCGTAGGCTCAAAATCTAAATTATCTAATTGAAACAGCCAGGGTTGGTTCTCATTCTATAGACAAGTGGGAGAAACAGCCAGGGGCGGTCCTCATTCTATAGACAAGTGGGTGTCACATCAAGGCTGACATATTATTTTAGAGGAAAATTAGGCAGCAATGGCAAGAGAGGTTGGTATTGTATTTTATAGAAACATGATTGAACATTGCAAGGTTGAATTTCATTTTATAACAAGATTGGACAGAAAATGACAATCCAAAAACAAGATATGTCTAAAGAGGTTGATATTCATTTTATAAGGACAGGGTTGGACACTCACAGGATGCTTTTTTGACTTTAGAAAGGTGAGCTGAATGTTGAACAAAAAAACCATTTTATAGTGGGCCAATATTCACCGGTTATTCCACAGGAATTGTGGGAATGCATGCGCCAGATTACACAAGAATGCGCCGGATATTTCGTGAAATCAGCAGGTCACAGCAGCATCTTTTATTCCTCCCCTGCAGATTGCAATCGGTCTGATTGCAAGTCCCCTTGATTGATGCTACCAAGATCATCCAAGATTCTGATACAACTATTTTACTTCTTCCTTGGAATTGACAGAGACTGTTCAATGTGGCTTCTTGTGGTGGCCACTTGTGTCAGGCCCACAGCACCCAGGACCACTTTGCAATGAAAAAACAACTCCTTTTGGAGCCAGAGGTGGTCAAGTACCTTTTTGGTGGGGAATGCCTCTGGGGAGCATTCTAGAACCCGCTGCCACTTGGAGAACTTCTTCCTTGGAATTGGCAGAAACTGTTCGCTTCTTGTGGTGGCCCACAGCACCTAGGACCACTATACAATGAAAACCAAGGTCTTTTCAAGCCAGAGGTGGTAAAGTACCTTTCAGGTGGGGAAAGGCCCTGGTGAACATTCTAGAAACCAATGCCGCTTGGAGACCCCTGCCTTGGAATCGATGAAACTATTCAAGGTGGCTTCTTGTAGTGGCCCACCTGTGCCAGGCCCACAGCACCCAGGCCACTATAAAGTGAAAAACCAACCTTTTTTGGAGCCAGGGCTGGTCAAGCACCTTTCTGGTGGGGAAAGCACCTGAGGAACATTCTAGAACCACTGCCGCTTGGAGACCTTCTTCCTTGGAATTGACAGAGACTGTTCAATGTGGCTTCTTGTGAAGAGTTCTCCAAGCGGCAGTGGTTTCTGGATTGTTCCCCAGGGGCATTCCCCACCAAAAACGTACTTGACCACCTCTGTCTCCAAAAGAAGTGGGTTTTTCATTCTATAGTGGCCCTGGGTGCTGTGGGCCTCTCACAGGTGGGCCACTACAAGAAGCCACCTTGAATAGTTTCATCGATTCCAAGGCAGGGGTCTCCAAGTGGCATTGATTTCTAGAATGTTCCTCAGGGTATTTCCTCACCTGAAAGGTACTTTACGACCTCTGGCTTGAAAAGAGCTGGGTTTTTCATTATATAGTGGTCCTGGGTGCTGTGGGCCTGACACAAGTGGCCACCACAA